CTCGGTAGTCTCAATGCTTATTAAATCATTGTTTTTTTGTGTATTCATACTCGTATCATATCATATCCATTGAATGTATGAATCCTTGGATGTGGATAAAAGATTGCAAGATTCATGAACCAAAAAGAATTGGAGAGCCCATTGAAATGGTGGGACAAACCATCAAGCTAATGGGTATTACAAAAAAAAGTGGATATGATGAGAGGGAAAGGTAGAACGCTCGAAAGAGACATTCGAAATCAGGGTAATAGTTGGTTCGATTCTTTCAATTCTGGTTTTAACTGAGAACTAAACCAAATCGGTTGGTTTTGTAAGACGAGGACTGAATTCAAAATTCTAGACCAAATCGGAGGACACAGTGAGCAAAATTCATAATTCAAAATTATTTTTTGGATATGCTCGATCCAGGTATAGATGCTACGACGAAATTCAAGATATTTAAAGTATCCTTTGATGTTTTCTTGAATGAAGTAACCTCGTATTTTCTTCCACCTAATTAATCAGAGCCCCTATTCCTGAAGAGTCTCACGAGCCCGAGCCCTGCATTGAAATGGTTTACATCACTATCCATTCTAAGTTCATCGATCAATTCTCCTATAACTTAGATGTCGAATAAAAAAATCTAATCTCGAGTCAACGTGATATTTAATACTAATATTTGTAAAATGAAATCAACCCCACTGGCACCATTCAGCCTGAACTTGGTCGGAGAATCTGCCTGGCTGCTGCTTCTTCGGAGCAATATGTGCGGCCCCAAATGCAGCCGGACCACGACCGCGAGCATGGTGAGGGCGTTCCACTCTCCTGGGTGCAGCAGGACGAAGCCGTCGCCTGACATAACTCCCGGCCACACTGTGCTGTAAGCACACACTGATTTAGAAAACTTCACATTTTCAGCTTCCTTTTTTCGCCATCCCCTTACACAAAAAGCATAAACTCCAACAAAAAAAATATACATGAATAACAAAAAAGGAAAGCCTTAAAATCTCTTAAAACTTTGCATACATACTCCCGAGATCCGCAGTCGCTCTAACACGAACAAAATGGTTAAAACCAAGATGAAAATACAAGGAAAGAAAGATAAATGGATGAAATTTTTGGATTGAACTTCTAGTGTAACAAAATATAGAGAAAACATTAAGATCTTCCTCCCTTTAGTTCAATTGTTTCTAGATATCTGAGAGGATTGGCCATCAATTCAATCATTTAAACAATGGATCAATGGGATGCCCTAAAGAAGAAGGGTCCAGATTTTCATATTCCTAAGCTAAAGCTAAGAGTTCAATCTACAAACTTAAACCTAAGAAACAATTTACAAGACTATGAAACTCATCCTGTTTGATGAAAAGCATCTCATGAGAGATGACAATCAAGCATTGTAGACACTCAATGAACGATGAGAGTACACACAAACAAACTCGATTCAAATTGAAAAGCTCACAAGTTGTCCGAGCAGCCATTCAACAGCCACAAGCTTTAAATGTTGCGAATTTTTGCAACTCAATACCAAGTAGCAATGAAGAAAAGAACCAGAGAGCTAAAGAGAACAAAACAATGGCAATGAGAGAGATTTCATCAGCTCCTCACAAGATAAGCAGAAACTAAGGTTCAAAATATAATACCCAAGGCAAAAACTATGTACATTGGAATGAGATAAAATATATATTGAACTGAATTATAATCATCAACATCTATCAAACAGAAGAATGCATGCTAAAAGAGCATTTTAACTAAATTGTACATATGATCCTATATTCCTCTCTTTGTTCAAGCAATAATGGACAAACTATTCTCCAAAAGGTAATAGTAAAGGAAGGATTTGGGGGAGGATATGTAGGGATTTAAAACTCCTTCCTGACTCTCCTGAGTATCAATTCTTAATCCAAAAGGCCACAAAACAAAACTCCTTGAGAACAGAAAATGATAAAAATGAAGAAAAGAAGCATACTAATCGCCAAAACCAACACAAAATGTTTATTATCTACCAGGGAAAAAATCCTCGCATCGGGCGTAGAGATGAGTTTTAGAACCTAGACCAAACTACTCTTTATTTACTAAAATTTTAATGAACTTTCATTAATCTAGATATTCGAACAAACTAAAAGAAGTTCATACCTTCGATTTGCAATATGTTTTCTAAGATTTCTACTAAAATGATAGATTAAACCAAAAAAAAAAAAAAAAAAAAATCCATAACCATCCCAACTCCTTAAGAAGAAGAAAGGGCACCCCTGATCTACACATCACCTTCACATGAACACGATTGTAACCTTTAACTTGCAAGCATTCATTTCTAGAATGGAAGTAACAAAGTATCAAGAAGACATTAGTCTTCATTCAATTCACTGGTTCACAATCAGTTTGACTACTAGGAGTCGAATCTATGAAACTTGAAAGTATAGAGGACACAAAAGATTTAAAACATATATCCAACAGTCTCTAAAACACTTCCACAACAAATTATAGAACAGAACATAGTGCTAAGAAGATTAAGTATAGAGGACACGAAAGATTTAAAACATAGATCCAACAGTCTCTAAAACACTTCCACAACAAATTATAGAACAGAACATAGTGCTAAGAAGATTAAGTATAGAGGACACGAAAGATTTAAAACATAGATCCAACAGTCTCTAAAACACTTCCACAACAAATTATAGAACAGAACATAGTGCTAAGAAGATCAGCAAGACAGAGCAGAGCGCACGAAAACATGCCTACTCTTTAGAGGATCAGACTAAATGAATTCTAGAAGACATATCCCTTCTTGATGATGAAGAGGCAAACAAAAATGAAGGCCTGGTATGGCAATGCAAAACCAAAGATCATGCTAATAATGTGTAAATCAATCCAACATAACTACTTCAACCCAATGAAGCATTAGATGCTAACATGGATAATGACAATTACAGCAGGCATTGATTCGAATATGAAATTGAGATCTAAAAGGTCATTATTGACTAAAATTCAAACAAAAAAAAGGGATACAAAAATATTGGCATCATAATTAAAGAAGGCAAGAAGGATAAAATGCCTCATTTATCCGAATTAGAACATCGTATGAACCAGAAAATTTTGCCCCTAAGGAGCTTAACAACCATGGGATAAAAATTAATAAAAAAATTCTCAAGTAAGCTACGTAGAGCCACCATCCACACCAAAAGAAGAACATAATTAAAGGACAATATTGAAGTAAAAGGAAAAATTATATACTATTACTCTTTTTCCTCTCCTTATCATGGTGCATCAGGACACTCCCTAGCAAAATGCCCCGATTTCCCGCAATTGAAGCAAGTGTTGGCGCCACCGCCACCTCCGCCACCAAATCTTCCGCCGCCGCTGCTGTTACGGCTTTCATTCTGGCAATCTCTGGCTAAATGCCCATACTCCCCACAATTAAAGCAACCACCACCACCACCACCACCACCTCCACCTCCAGCTCCACCCCTATTGCAATCCCTAGCCAAGTGCCCAAAACCACCACAATTATAGCAACCCCCACCACCGGCCCCGCCGCCGCCGCCGCCGCCGCCGTTTCCTCGTTGACAATCCCTCGCTAAGTGGCCAACTTCACCGCAAGTAAAACAACCACCACCGCTGCCACCTCCGCCGCCGCGGTTACTACCACGGGCACAGTCTCTAGCCAAATGCCCTTGCTCACCGCATTGATAACACCCACCCCCACCGGCTCCACTGCTGCCATTCCGCCTATCACCGCCCCTCCAACCACCAAACCCATAACCCCCGCCGCCCCGGCCACCTCGTCCACCACCACCCCCAAAGTTATCCCTCCGATTTCCCGAAGATCCATCAAGCGCAACGACCTCAATAGCTTTCGATTTCCCATCATCACCCGAAGCGATCTGAAACTCAACATGATCTCCAACGACAAGGCTACGGTAGCCATCTGATTTAATGGAGGATTGATGAACAAACAGATCAGGTCCTTCCACATCTGGCTTGATGAACCCGAACCCCTTCGAATCGTTGAACCATTGAACCACACCAGTCAATCTCTCCTCCGCCATCTTCAAAGTTATAACCGATCCCTCTGCAACAAAAATGGCGACTTAGAGAACGAGAACAAAAAGGGTTTCGGAATATATAGAAGGCGAAGAGAATGAGATCGCGGGAACTTCTAACGCTTCATCCAAAACCCTAATCCGTTAACGATTTAATTTTTTTATTTTTTCAATTTTCAATTTTTTCCTGTTTGAAAATATTTTAGATTCGTGAATATTGCTTTTATTTGGAAATATATATTTTTAATTATGAAATTGAGTTTTAAAATATTTTATATTTAATAAATTAGGAAGATGAAATCAGCTTAAAATCATAAAATAAAATTATTTTTCTCTTATTAATTATAAATGAACCATTTATAAATAGAATCTTTAAGTAAAAACTAAATTGATTAATTTATAAAAAAATTATAATTAAATGGATTTGATGTTTTTTTTAATTAATTAAAATAAATTAGTTAGTTATGACATTGGGAACGCTCATGTCGTTTTGTAACTAACTAATTGGTATAAATTGGATTGGTTTTGTGAGTTTTCCTAGAACTAGATTGGATTGGACTGAACCCACTTGAATTTATTGTTGATTAGGTGTACATTTTGCATTGTTTTTAACTATTTGAATAGTAAATTTTCAAGAAATATATTGACGGCCAAAATAATTGGATTGGATCTAAAAATGACTTAGACAATTTTGGATATAGTTTAAACGTCGAGCCATGATTTATTAACAGAACCCCTAAGTTTAAATCCAACGTTTCAAACTATTCAAATATTGGTGAAAGAAGTAGATACTATAAACCCTTTTTGCATATTCAATTTCAAAAGGCACCTAACTACACTTATTTGAACAATCAATAATAAGTTCATGACTTTACCTAAAATAAAACGAGAAAAAGAATTGGAGCGAAAAGTATTCCTTAGGGCATAATTTCGAAGTTTTTTTTTTTTTATATGAGCATAATGAACAAGATTTCAAAATTAAAAATAGCTTAAAATACAGAAAATTATAAAAAAAGGAATTAACTATATCTACATAATAATGGGGGGTTGAAAGAGAGATGTTGAAGTCAAAATGTAGAAAATATTATATTTATAAAATTAATAAACTTCCACATTCCATTGCTCTGATTTCTTCAACTGCCTCTTGTACTCCAGCCAATCAATCCCTACCGAAACCAAAATAATAATAAATAATAATAATAATAATAATAATACTATTTTAATTTATTCCGAAAAAAAAAAACCCTTAATAAATTGACAAAAAGAGAAATGAAAGGGAAAAAATCTAACCATCTCTAGCAGCCAAAGAGACCATAATGTCATCAATTCCCTTCTCCATGCCCTTGAGTCCACACATGTACACAAAGGTGTTGTCTTTCTTCAATAATTCCCAAAGCTCCTCGGCATATTGAGCCATTCTAGTTTGGATGTACATTTTCTCGCCTTGCTCGTTTGTTTGCTCTCGACTAACGGCAAAGTCCAACCTGAAGTTCTCGGGGTACTTCTCTTTCATTTTCTCAAACTCCTATTTCATTTTACAAACTCACATTATCGATATTTTCACATGTTCGTGATTTTGATTTCCTTTGTATCGTACAAAAGTATGATGTCTAAGGTTGTATTAGGATTTCTCGTTTTTACCTCTTTGTAGAGAAGCGAGCTACTTGTCGGGACACCCAAAAAGAGCCAGGCCAATCCATTAAACTACACAGCATAAGATGGATTGAGATGATAATTTAGATGTTAATAAAAATTATGAATTCAAATTAGAATCATAAAAAAAAATAAGTTTGTAAGCATTATTATTAGTACCTTGTAGTCATCATGCTTCTCAAAGAACATTTTCCACAAAAATGATCTAAATGGAGCAATTCCAGTTCCAGTTGCAAGCTAATGCACCAACACAATTCCACCCATTTAAATTATAAAAAAAAAAAAAAAAAAAAAAAAAAAAA